CCAGAAAATCCGCCTGTCAGCGCCGAGCTGGCCCTCGGCAGACGCAGCACAGCGCTCCCCTTACGGTCCTGCCCCAGCAGTAAGGAACCCGGGGCTCCCTCCTCCCACCTGCCGCTGGGCTGGCCTCGCTGCTCGCCCTTCGTGAGTCTCAGGCTGCTAACACGTAAATAATACCTACCTATTTCATAACTAAGTGAGGAATATCTCAAAGTTACTCAGTTACTAGACCAACTACCAGAAAAAGAAAAAAAAAATTAACTCACTTTGCTACCATTTGCTTAATGCTTAATGCTATCATTAAAGCAACTGGTAGCAGAGTTATTTTTTTTCTCTAAGAATTGCGGGTGCCATCTATTTGATTACATGAAAATGGAATATGAGGAAGAAACTGTGTTCAAGCAACACAAAAACTCAGACTATAGTAGCAACTTCCTTTTCCAAAAATTTGTTTCTATGCTGTACCACCCTCTATAAAAAATTACATGAAAGTGTTTAACAGACCTTGCTATTTATATTTGGCAAAATAAACATTGGTAACACAGGTCTGTATATCTATTTTATATATGCCTATTCACGATAGATACATTTTAATCATGAATTCTAACACTAACAAGATGACTAAATAAAATAAAATGAAAAAATTGACATTATTAGAAACTAAATATGGTATGTTGTGACAAAAGACAAGCCACAGTCTCTACTGGCAATAAAGATGATGTCCTGTGGAATAAGTGATTTATAGGATTCTACCAATTAATTTTTATTATGATAATATTATTTAATGGTGATAGCCTAGTGCTCTTGAGTACACTTTTTTGGTGGCTGGAAAGCTAAATAAGTTGTAAGAACGAATTAATTTTTTTACCAGGATAGATGATCGTGTAACTTTACTGGCATCAATGTTGATCTGTGCTTCATTATGCTAAAATGTACAAGGTACTTCTTGGTTCTCACTCTTTCAGTACTGAAAGGGTGCTGGTTTTTTTTAGGCGAGTTAATAAGGGAGACCAGAAGTTGTGATGGTGAGCACAGGTCCTTTTCTCTTTCTGGTGGTACAGGCTAGACAGCAGGTATTTGCATTTAAGATTAAATTTTCAACAGTGCACAGGGTTATACTTTTAAGGGCCTAGCATCCACATTTGGGTCAGATTTTTCAAGATGCCAGCAGCCTATTAAGCAGATACACACGGATCAGATTTTCAAATGTGCTAATGTACTTTGACACTCTAGCTCCTTACGTTAGGTCTTAGATGGGAACCGGGCTTCTCTTAAAAATCTGGTCTCAGTTGTGACTCCTAAGCTTTTCGGCAACATTTGGCCTGAAGGCACAATTTAGTCCTTACTGATTAGGCAATTTCAAAAAACTGCTCACCTGCGACTCCCTGTTTAGTATTACCTAATCGATACAGGAAAGCATTTGCTCATACAAAAGAGACAAGCAGGTCATCTTTTACGTGTTGGAGTGTTCACGTGTGCGTGTGCGCACTTGTGTACACTTCAAACATATTTTATAAATATTTCACCTTCCCTTACACAAGAGGAAGTAATTGGTACATGCATGTTTTGGAAACCATTCAAAGTTGATTTTCTGCGTGGGTAAACAAAGTGCTCATTGGTGCCAGCCTGCTTCATTTGGGCGGCGTGAGGTGGAACGCAGGGCAGTTGCATCCTGCAGCTTCAAGGTACCTACTTGCTTCTGTGTAGAGAAGGTAGAGAAAGACGGAAGGAACTCATGATACTGACAGGACAAGGGCAATGCCGTGGTGAGAAGGACTTCTCTGGAGTTCAAGCATAAAGGTTGTATTAATTACTATTGAATCAATGCAGACGTTTAAAACTAACCTGATAAATTCCATATTAAGCACTACAAGTTAAACGTAACTGTTGAAATCATGCCTGTATAGGCTTTAACATACACAGGACTATGCGAAAGGTCTATGCAACATTTGTGCTCTTATATATGTATTTAAACGTTTCAGATGCTATATGCGCTCCGTTTGAAATCAGTGCCAATCTACAAGGTTGCTACTTCTTGCGTTTCTGGAAATTTATAGAAGCAGCGTGGCATTGGCCCACCCTGCAAAGGGAACATTTGATAATGGCTGCCAGAGAATCTCCCTGAGAAACGGCTCCTCCTCCCCACCTTTTAGAAACCAAAAGGCAGGATTATCTCAGATCGAGTACTGCACAAGTAGACTCTGTAGACCTGAAGAAAAGTTAGCAGCTGGGCTGTTTTAACGCTCACGATACTGAGATTTGTTGGCCTAAACAAAGCTGGTGGTATTTATTCAAACAAAATACAATCAATATGGAGACAATCTACAATTTCTTTTTCTGCTTCTATACACCAGCAGAGAAAGTGCTACGCCACTGTATCATAAATCACTAACAGAGACACAGAGCCGTAAAACCATCTTCGTCTACTGTTTACAGTAGAGTCAACCTGGGAATCTTTCTAGACAGTGCGGATACGGCAAAAATGTCTGAAATGCCTAATATTTCTTATTATACTTCATCCATTCTCTCTACAGCTATAAAAAGGCTAATCTATTTTAAACCGGAAAAATAAATAGTGGAAGTTTTGGAAGAAAGCAGATGTAGCAACAAAATATATTAAAATGTGAATTGCTAACTGATTGATTTTATAATGGCATTTTATTTCTTTTTTTCAGATATAGCTGCATTTACGTTAATCAAGTTCACAGTTATGTGAAAATAAGCTATTTCTGGTTTTGTCTATAAAAAAGACAAAAAAAGACAAAAACTTTAATTTTACTTTAATTTTACTTTAATTTTGGCAGCATTTGTAAATTAAAACACTAGGGGTCTGATATTCTTTGATGGGCTGTAATTCTGCAGGTGTTATTTTACACCTACAGGTTAGGGTAGCTACAAGCTGACAGAAGTTTGGTATCCGCTGCATGCACAACCCGAAGCTGGAATGTTGAATGTCAGTAGTCAAAACATTCTGTTGAAAGGGAAGTCGAATGGCTGGGCTGCTTTTTAACTCCTCCTTGCAACAGTTTGATTTTAAAACAGCAATTTTATTTCTTTTAAGATGAGGGACGGAAATGTTTTCACCTAAATGTGCCCTGAATTTTAGCATGCTGACCTGTATTTATCTCTGACATTATCCTGATTGTAATTCCCAGTAAAGTTAATGACGCTACAGATGATTTTGGACACACTCTATGCACAACGTATGACTAAACCTTTTTTGGCACCAGTATCTTTCATTATTACTTAAACACTGCATGTCTTTTTTTGGGGGGGAAAAAAAAGGTGCGAGTGGTATTTAACACCATATCGCTCTATTCTAGCCCCTTACACTTTTTATCAAGTAAACTATAGAAATATTTCTAATTCAGTCTTTGGATTACAGAATCAAAATAAATACAAAAAAACTTTTGAATTTACTCCTAATTCCAGCTAACTTTCTTGCTCTGTTCAGCAAGCATGACCAATTTTGAGAAAAATCCTTCTTGCAGCTGCAAAGCATCCTCAAGTGTTTATTTACAATGGCCAAAAAAGATAAATAAATCTTCAATTAAAAATAATTTTGATCTTTGAGAGGCATTTCAGCATTTTGTTTATTGTGGAAATAAGGTAATATTCTAAAACTAAGGGCAGAGTTAGTGGGGTGGAGAACATTTTACAAAGAAACTCATAAGCATTTTGGCTTTGCGCATTTTTGAATTATATTTCCAATTAAAAATGCAGAGTGCTAAATCACATTACAAAGACAAATAGGAAAGTACAACTTCATTGTTGAAAACAATTTCCCTCCTATCAATCTGAGGATTCATGCATCAATATTGTAGATGAACTGTTAATTACAAAATCAATTAAAAAATTATTTCTAAAAACAGTCACGCGTCCTGGCTCTCAGGGGGGCAATTTGGGCAGAAGGTCTCATCTCACTAGGACCGCGCCAAATCACAAGTCGTCATCCACAAGTAAGCAAAAGCAATCTGGTTTTTCATTTTTCAGCGCGGCTGAGCCCAGCCTGAGATTGATCGTCACATATGGCCCCAGAAAACAAACTGTCAATACCTTGAATGCTGCAGAATTTGAACAAATAGCCGTCCGCCCATTCAAGCCACTCATTGCATCCCATTTAACAGATTTTATTGACAGTTTCCTTCTTGTAATTAAAGGGAAAACTACTGGCCAGCAACCAAGATAAAGTTCAAAGATAGGGTCAAAACAAAAGCAGATGGAGGGGCACGGTGTGACTGTCAATGGAACATAGCATCAGAGCATGTTATTGACACACAGGTATCTAATGATCGGCACGTCATTAAAGAGGGATCTATCGTGAACTTTATGCAAATGCTAAAAGGGACTTAAGACCACAATAAAGCATTAAGGAGACACAAAAGGAAAAACAACAAAGCACAAACGATTTTTACTTATCTGACAGTATTCACTGCTTCAGCACTTTTAAATTCAAATGCAGAAAAAAAATTCTTTCTGAGACTTTTTAACCCCTGTGGCACAGGTAATAATTTTTGCAGGAGCATTCTCATAAACACAGAGGATCCGTAAGGTAAGGTGTGGTCCTTGAGATCCCTCCTCCCATATCCTGAATTCACCCGATCAAATAAATCAGTAGCTGCCTTTAAAGAGAACTTATATAGTATATTCTCATGCATCCTTTCTGTTCGTTTTAATTGCAATGATTAGACTTGCCTGGATTATGGAATGGATTTAGGAGAACAACGTCTATATTCATTTGAAAGGATCTTTGCCTGTAAAATACTCTCCAAATCGTACAGTGCAGTATTCTCCACTGCCTTAGGAACATATTCCACAATTACTTAGAACCAGAAAGCTCTTCTTAGTTTGAACTACTTCATTCGTTGCCTTATAGGCTAAGGTCTGATTAGCAATTTCTTATTCTAAAACCGTGTTTAAAACAAGCATGCAGAAAGTATTATGGAGAGAGAAAAAAAAGTGACATATTAAAAATGTAGCAACTGTCATGCCACTCTGCCAACCTGAATTAGCAAGTGCTATAGCTTTGAGGGTGACAAACTCTTCTTTCTCCAGCTTCATGCTCTTGTATTTCTTTACCAGCTGCAGTATGGCATTGTTGAGGTCAAGAAGGCCTGCCAATTTGGATTGGTCTTCATCCATAATATAATCTTCAGCATATACGAGCTCATCCTCAAAAGAAAGTGACCGGTATACAACACCAAGAATCAAAATCTCCATCCAAGCACTCTGCAGAAGGCTCATCTGGTCAGCTAGAGACAAAGTGGAGAATCCTGAATAGGAGAAAAATACAGGAAAAATATTAAGCACGTTTGGATTTGTCAGAAATCTGCTCCTCTTTTTGATTTATTTTTATATACATTGTGATAAAACATGTACGTACTCTATTATTCTCCCTTCTGCTTTTGTGCCTCTCCTCCCCATCCTACTACAGGAAAGTAAATCAATATAAAATCAAACGTTTTCTAATCAGCGTACGAAGTTATAAACAAGTTGGAATTTGCAGGCTCTTTCTGTAAGAATCCTATTAATTTGGGCAGTATTGCTGTGATAGTCTGCAATTTGTATGATGTCTTCTTTGTTCTGAAATATTCGTGCTTATTTCTAAAACCTGATGCTGTGAAACAGGGATCTGATGACTCTGTTCATCATTACCATAAAGCAAGAAGGGTAATTTAGGAGAGAAAAAAAAAACTTTCTCGAAAGGGAAGATTTGATGTTTTAATAGAATTAAGGTGTTTACCACAAAGAGGAAAATTCTCTTTGAACTTTAACCTCAGGGGAAAGAGAAGTGACACCCCCTTCCTCAGAAAAGATGCCAGTTACTTCCGTAATGGCTCCCACCTCTACTACACTTGTTGAAATAACAGGGTGGCATATTAAAGTGCCAACTGAATAGCAGTCACAGCATCCTTTTTCTGAAGGCAACGAAAAATTTAATAAATGCCTCTTAATGAATTTAACTTGTGCTCTTTTCTTTTTCTCCTGCTGCCTTTCCTAATAGGATCACTAAGGGCAAACATCTTTACTGTCTTACCTTTTCAGACTCTTGTTTACAGTACCTGTTAATTTATTATATCAAACTGCTAATATCCCAATCACATTAGGAGCTACAAAACAATATGGGAGAGGAAGTGATTTTCCTGGCCTGTTGGTGAAATGCAGTAGTTTGCCAGTTGGCACCATCAACCACAAGTACTTAATAAAATCATCAAAGGGGATTAGTCAAGCTTTTCTTAAAGGGTCTTAAGACATGTCTGAGGCTTTCCTTTAGTTGTTTATGGAGCTGCTTACACGTCCTTTGACAGGGTTCCCGCTGTAAGAACATTCTTTTTGGCGTTCGATTACACTTAAATGCATTCTTCTGTTTTGAAAGTCGAGAGTTACAGTCAAGCAGGAATATATCATAAACTAGCAAATCTGCAAGGCATCTACTGCAAACAAGATTTTCTCTATAAGCACTAAGCAGCAAAACTAATACAATAAAAAAGAAAACCCCACATCCAAACCACCAGGCATCCATAAAAAAATCAAACATAAAACTGGCTGCATGCTCGCTCGCTCTCATTTTTCTCCCCCTCCTTATTTGTTTTCATTTTCTCTTAGTGTCTTTTGAGTCTTGTGATAGAACTGTAGCTTTCTGCCTCCAAAAAAACCCAACAAAACTGAGCCAACAACAACAGGAAACCCTTGAAGAGGTGTCAATGGAAAATAACACATCTACGATTAAAATAAGAGGGAAATGGAGAAGAAATAATCATTTGAAAGGTTATAGGGAGGAATTCATGATTTCAATCAGCTTCAACATTTCTGTTCCTTCCCGTCTTTCAAGAACCAGTTTTTCTGCAGTAGCAGATGGACAGAGAACGTAGCCTGCAGCACCGTCCTGTGACAGCCCCATTCTCCCTCCCAGACACTGCTGTTAGTAAATAGATTTACACATTCTCCAATCTCCACACATCTTTCTGCCGAATAATTAAAAGCAGGATGATTAGTTTATTGAGTGGAAGGAGGAACTTTTTTATTGAGGTCCATCCACGATTTTATCAGGGCCAGCACTTTTACGGTTGTCATGAGGGTGCAGGCATCCAATTTTTCTTATCTGCCTGATTAATACAAACGCTGTTTCAGGACGCATTAATTAACAGATACAAATCTACGTTCTCATGGAAGGATCAATACAGAGAAGAAAAGAGGCATCAATGTGAATTTAGTGCTGATGATGGAGAAGGCACTCTATTGACATTTACGTGCATAGAAACTTTAAAGTTGCAGTGGAGCCCTTTTGTCCCTGGGATTTACAAATTAACAATTTTTCAGGTATAACAATGTTTCACACACTTCTGAGGAGTTTAATTAAGCAAAAAGCAATAAAATCAGTTTTGATTAAAAAAAGTTTAACCTGCAATTTCTCTCTATCCTTTTTTTTTCCTGAAAACTCCCGACTTCCTTCTTTTATTTACTTATCTATTTTTGTACAGGTTTGTTGGGGTTTTTTTTTAAATAAATAATGCTATATTTCAATAACATTTATTGTGTGCCACAGTCAAAGAAAATTACATGTGCCCTGTGAGAGCGAAAAATGGGATGTTTCCTGTAATTTATTGTACTGCACTCTTGAAAAAACTGCATTCTGGTGCAGTAAATATACTAATTGTTTTTATATGACACATAAAAAATCAAAAGAAATTTTTTACATTATAGAAAAACTGGCAAATATAAACCACACTGTTCTGCTCTCCAATAATAAATCAAATAAACATGATTATTTTCTTCCTGATCGAAGTAACTTCCCCTTGAAAGCCTGCTCAGTGAAAGCATGTTTTAACTTTTAAGGGCATCCCTCGTGGGAATGTAAAGCTGCATCAGGTTGCAATTAATCTGGTTTGGTTTTGTTTTGATTTTTCAGAAAACGTGAAAGCATCCAGCACGCTTCTTGTATCACACCAACACCCTTTTAGATGTTCAGCAAGTCCCAGTTAAAAGAACAGATTACACAGGCATATGTATTTACATACAGAGATTTATTTTTAATTGTTTGGAGGAGGTTATAGTCATTTCATGCCAAACTGTGCTCTGATTCTCTTGAGCTTTTGTTATATGAATCCCCTAGATCAACCATGTTCTGTGACAAGTGGACATGTTCTATTTTAAAATGTAACTATTTTCAAAAAAGTCTCCAAATGAGATGAAATACACTTCTGGCTTTCTGGACCGGTGGTAGCCTTCCCAGTCACAACTGTAAGCTCTTTCCAACCGCCCTGAGATGCTGCACGACGGTGTGGTTTTGAACTTTGTCATGCATTGTGTGGCTCCGTAATCCTTCAGAGTCTTGCAGGTCAATGTTTTAAATGTAGAACTGCATAATGGCTTTTTAAAATACAACGTTGTGTACCTTTTTCCCCTTTAGCGTGTACCATATTGGTGACAACTTTGATCTCTTCCCATCTCCCTCCCCAAGTCAATGCCATTTAATGTATCTCATGCATTTGCTAGCGGAATGACTCTGTACCTTGACCTGCAGTTAAATAGCATGTTTATCTGTGATACAGAGCACTCCAAATAAACCAGATGACAGTTTGCAATAACGTCATTTGGAAGGATTGAAAGGCTTCTCAAGAGTCAGGTACCCCTGAGGTAAGAAGCTTGAAGGAAGCATGTTTTGTGCCAATCCTCCTGCCATCTTCTACTAGACGCTCATGTGCTTGACAATGATGCCAGGGGCACTTGTCAAGATTTTTTTTTTCTTTTTGCCTAGCAAACTGATGCACTTTGCAGTCAACTTACAAAAAAGGCTAAGCATTTGAAAGTGTGAAGGGCAAAAAATATCTGACGGCTAGTCTTCAAAAATACACTTTCATTTCAGAAAGCATAAATGTTTATTTCCCGAGCTGAGTGTTGACAGAAATAGGCTGCAGCGCAGGCATCTGAATTTAACCCCTGGTAGGCATTCTTTTCAGTGCGGTTTTTATGGGGCTGAATGCAAGCATTGTAAATCTACAGGGCGTCTCGTAATATCAGTTAACAATAGCATTGATTTGCTGGTTACAGATTTTCTTCCTTCCTTTTTTCCTTTCTTTCTCCTCCTTTCAGGGACTGTAGTGTTTCTTCAGCTAAAAATAGATACTTTTCTACAAACAGCGTATCACACTCAAATTGTAATTATGCCGTAATGACTCACAGAGATCACCGAGCGTGGATTGAGAAAAGGTTGATTGAGCAACCAAACATATGCTTGTTTTTTTTTTCCTTTCACATACCAGTAAACCCAAAGCTCAAAGGAAGCAGAAATAAATAGGTAAAAAGGCCTTAGCATTTTTACTATAGGAACAACCGGTGGCGAGCTGACCACGCTCTGCAGCGCCCAGCACTCCAAGCCAGCTCCAAACACGGTTCGCAGTCTCTTAGATGGGGCTGTTTAAACCGCAGATCTTTTCAAATATCAGCACATGCACCACTTGCTCTCTATTTCACATTGCACACAGCTCCATGCTAAGCAGGGTAAATCTTTTATATTCCTGAAGACCCTTTCCTCTACTTCATTAAGATGGACTTCATGGACACTAACTCACTAGGGGCTAGAGTGAAGCAGCTGCAGATGGTCAAGTGCCAAAGTAAGATCTGTGCCTTGCACACAGCACTCCGAGAACTATAGGACAAAAAAAAAGACAGTGGCTGGACTTATCCCTACCATTATTTTCAGCCTTAAACATTTGATGCGATGCCTAAATCAGGCTACTCTGACTCGAATCCTAGTTTATTTCTCTTTGCAGGGAACGAACTTCCCTTCCTCTCTGTTCCGTGTTTAGAAATCCGAATATTTGATCAAACCAGGTGTGAAATTGCTGGCAAATCTGGGAGTTGCTCGCTTTTTCTGATAATCACCTCCCATTTATCTTACCAGTTGCTTTTGTGATTGTTAGTTTTATGAGTAAAATATTTCTCTTGCTTGCCCTGGTTTGTACTTCAAATATCTTCATTTACATTTTTTATAATCAAAGCCGTGCTTGAAAATGACATGTTCACTAGTGTGTTGCAGATCCAATATATTTACACAGTTGAAATATCAAGAGTTGGATTTTTAAATTATTTACACTTAATTTTGATGGATTTACTTCCTTCTAAATGTTTTATGGGTGCTGATGTCTCCAGCACAATTTCCTTATTTCAAAAATGATGTATAGTCACCACTGTCAAAAGAACAAACTGCTATTGTAAACACTTTTTAAAAAAACTTTTCTTTCAGCCCAGATTACTTTATTTAGAGAGTGCG